ATGGGAAACAAAAAAGAACTTCCGGGCACTTCCGGCCACCTGGACCCAATAACACCTACGGACTTAAACCAGGTTAGCTAAGGAAGAACCTTAATATCTTCTTCCATCTACGCGAGATGTGAATTTACTGTATCTTTCTCTACCGGTTAGGGTAGTGCGGCAGAGGAGGGTACTGCTTAGGGATCAAAGCGTTCATCAATATGGGGACAACAGCAGCATCAACGACGACGACAACCACAACCCTCGCCGACAATTTTCAAAAGCGCGCGAACTCCTGTCTAAGTTTAGACACGTGGTATAAATATAAACTGGAGAGAATGATCCTCAAGTCAACCGGACAGGGGGCTCATCGCGTCACCTTCGCTTGGTGCACACTAAAGCCCCAGTCTCCCGTCTTGACCTCGTCGTGCATCACCCTTACGAAGGACTCGGCCTTAGCCTTGCTCGTAGAGATCTGGGCGGCCCCGCGAGAGGAAGACGCAATAGAGAGGTTGACGCATCACCTCTCGTAAATATCGCTTGTCACCAAAGGCATTTGTTTTCAAGTATTGGCATGTGTTGTTGAATCCGTCGGCGGTGCTTGCAACTTCAAGTTCAGCAGTTCTTTCCGTCGGTTTTGTGTCACACATGTCATCGCTTTTTTCACAATGTTTTCACGCCAAAGACATTCGAACCCAACACCTAGGAAAGCCAGAAGGCTCCGAGGTTGCACCGTAGCTGACCAACCGGGGCGACCGGCCCGAAACCTAACGATACAATAAGAATACCGCACCCCATCATCACTCTCCAGGAGGAAATCGTCCACCTGGCGCAGCAACGTGCAGTCGCCCTCAGGATCGGGAAACGGGCTCTCCCCCCCACTCTCTTCCCTCTCCGCGGGCCCCCTTCCTCGCTGCTCATCGTCACCATTACCACCGAGTCTGCAGCGCTCGCCCCTATGCGGTCCGCCCACGGGCCCGTACGAGCCATGTCCTCTTCCGTTTTGGTTAGCGGTGTTCCGGCATGACTGCTGTTGTGGCGTTTCGTGTGGCCCACGGTTGCCGTCACTGCCGCCGCCGCCGCGGCCGTTCGGAACCCCAAGCACGCCCCCGCGTGACGCTCGATCGGAGTCCGGTGCAGCGGCGTCGCCCAAGCGGGAACAAGCGGGTGAAATGCGGGCGAACTTCGGCGGTCTTTCACCTTCTTGTTCTCGTTCTCGTTCTCGTTCTCGTTCTCGTCCTCGTTCTCGTTCTCGTTCCCGTTCTCGCTCACCCGGCCTACCGCGCTTCCCTCCCGCGGGGGGGGCGAATGAAGAGGTAGCGCCTGCGCCTTGACTACCACTACCGCCACCAATACCGTCGCTGCGACGCTCGAGCCCAACCGCTCTCGCCGACAGTCCTCGCGCTCCGCCGCCGCCGGGCGGGCGGTGGGGCCGCTCCGGGACGCCGCCGTCGAGAACGTCGCCCAGGAGGCGCTTTTCGATGTGGCCAAAGAAGAAGTAGTTGCACAGGAGGCCCGAGAGCACCGAGCCTTGCGGGATGCCCACAGCCTGAGACAGGAGGGCGTCCATAGGCATGTTTTCGAGTTGGAATGGGCGGTCGTGAAGGTTGTGAGGTATGCAGGAAATGGGAAGCCCGGCACTTGCTTCGTGGAAGGGCACACGGGGAACCGTATCGGGGTGTAGGGTACTGTGGAATAGGGCTGCCGCGGGGACGCCGAGTGTTAGAAATGGGAAGGCGGACGTGAATGCTGAGAGGGCAGCTGTAACGACGGAAAAGCGGGCGCTCGCTTCCGAACTAATCGGCTACAGTTATCGCCAGCACAGCAGCAGACTTCACAAGGATACGGCGAAAAACAAACAACTGCACGGTCGTTCCCGGAAGCGGGGGCAAGGGGAGAGGCGACATTTCTCTTCACCTTCCCACCACCGAAAGGCTGTTTATACAGAAGAAGCTTGAAGTTTTGTGCCCCCTCTCCGAAAGAATGCCCTCCTCGAGCACTCCCAGTGATGCATGCTCAGGCAGGGGAGGCGATCGCTCAAGAATACAAAGCAGGACCCAAAGAACCACACCTGTTGGAAGTAAGCACCCTTCCCAGAGCCGCCTGCAGCCGGCACCCGGACGACGTTGTTCTTGATGTGGTCCTCGACCATGTCCAGGACACCATTTATTTTGTTTTCTATCGAATTGCTTCATTATTTCTTCGGTTTCTAGGCTACGTGTTGGGGAGAGAGACGCACGAAACGCTCATCGTCTCTCCGGCCGCGTTAGCTGCAAAGGCCGGCATCAACTCTTACAAATCCATCTCTCTCCCCACAAATACTAGCCGGGGGACTACGACTGCAAACGCAGGAGTCCCAAAACTGACCAAGTCCTCAAATGGTACACACCATTCTACAACACCTGACTAGATACCGAATATTCCCGAACTTATGCCCCCACCTTCGAAAGAAAAGGGATGGGAGGGCGGGATTTTCTAAACTGCCGCCGCTAC